GGAGCTGCTGCCAAAATCTGGGTTCGGGGGGGGGGGTATTCGTGCAGTAGTGTCCGCTGATATTGCTAGAAAAATTCTAAGACCGCCGTCACACTCGGCGACGGACAAGCGATGGAGCGATTGCGAGGACATGCGAAATTTGAGAGTGGACTTATAATTACGAAACGCACTCTAATGAGTGAGTAGTGGGAGCAATTTTATAACTGAAGTAAACTAAACTGAATAACTTTAAAATCCAATGTGATCATTACCTGAGTAAGGAACCAAACAGTAAGAGCATCGTTATAACGAATATGATCTGAAGCCACCACGAGACAAACAAGTGTTCATAGAAGTACCTGGAATCCACCACACTACTCGAGTTCCTCATTCAGTGAAACATTTGAAACGAAATTACCACGTTATTATCATACATACTGGCTCGGCAACACAAATGCCAATCGGAATTAAGCTTGACGTAGTGGAATAGATATCGAACTTGATGAAACACTGAGAAATAAGGATTGCCGTAAGCAGAATGAAGGCAGCGATTCCGTAATGTAATAAGTAGAACAGAAGAGCTGTTAGACCCAACAAAAAGCCTGGAAAACATTTAACTCAAAAAGCGATATGAAAGCATATGAATAGATCCATTTCTTGGTTTGAGCTCAAAATTGGCTTAAAATATTACACATTCGGCATCCATAATTTTGCCCCATTTTGTAGAACTAGAAAATCGCTCGTTGCAAATCCTTTTGCTTTATGACTAGGCACCTTTTCCTGTTAAAGCATCCGAAATACTGAAATATTTTTTGTTAGTGATAGACTGTGTTTTCAGAGGGTTTATATGGGTTCTCATTTTGGTGGCACGAGAACCATCAAGGAAGAGTATAACTTTCTACAATTAATAACTGTCCTCGAATCCTCACCTTTTTCTTCCTAAAGCGGTTCAGGACCTGATGAAATGTCAGACCGCTGCCCATTAGAGCTTGTTTTGTTACTTTGGATTATCATCGATACATATTCCGCACGACAACTGATAGGTTCCAGTGAAATTTAGTGTTGTAAAAGTTTCTTCAACCCAATCAGCAGCGATGTATGGCACTCAGAGCTAACCTGCGACTTAAATGCACGCTCTGGGACCAGGGACATTACCCAACTCCGTCGTCGATCCTGGTCGACTGTCGGGCAAACGTTGTCGTCGTGACGGTTTCGCAGCTTAGAAGTGTGCGAAAAATGCGCTAAAAGCTCTCAACCAGCAACGCCCTCTTTGCGCGCAATCCCCGCCTTAAGCTGTCGGCCACAACGCAGGCTCTACCATAGCAACGCAGTCGCAACTCTAGCAGCACTAGCGTCGCGACTGCCGCGCTTCCCCATTCGCCAATAGAAGGACGATGGATCTAAACTCAATTCTAATTGGTAGGGAATCACTAAATTTTGATTTTTTCACTTCCTTCTTTCTCATCTTAACTCCCATTTGAATACTTATGTTTGTGTTGTACGTTACACTACCCTTGTCATCAATTGCTGGCAGGGAGCTAGCCGGAAACCCGGCTAACGCAAACTCTCGCCAAACTAAACTCGTTCAAGGCTGGTGTCCCTCAACGTTTCTTTTGTTTTTTTCTTCATTTATGACTACTTTCACATCAACAACATGTATCTATGGGATGGCTCCTTTGTATCGCAATCTTTTTCCAAAGAAGTTGACGTTCGCCTAGGTGTAATGAAGACAGAAGTGTTTGTTGTACAGGACGGCAAGCCTTACGCGCTTACAATACACAATAAAGCACAGCCGCAGGCAGTCACCCTCTCCACGGATTCGGTTCGAAGGACCCCAAAAGGATCAAAAGGCGATGATAACTACGTGTGGACTTGAAAATAGTCCGTATGCATCCAGATCACACATTCAATCGAAAAAAAAAGTGGCGCCAATATACGAAAAGGACTACAGCACTAAGCGGAAAGTTAACGAAATAAAAAGAAGGGGAAAAGAGGCATTCGATCAACTCGCTTTTAGCTGACGCTGCTCACAATGCTACACTGTCGTCGGGAACGGAAGACAATAACACATTGACGACAGCCCATTGCGCGCGCATCTCCACAACTTTTTGTTTATTATTTTCAATAGTCATTACTCTTCAACAATTCCACCACTGTTAATTGGTGCACAGTTTTCCGGATAAGATAATGCATCCAGACAGTTTTGAAATATGAAAAATGCCAAATAAATCATACAGAATGAGCCTGCTCCGTTCACAATCTGACGCGCATGCGCTTCATGCTGTCGTCAATGTGTTAAAGTGGAAACAGTCAAAATTATCGAGGAAAAATCATGAAGTCTGCAAAGTAGCATGTTTGGATTTGTTCTAAAAAGAAAAAAGACGAAACTAAAGCTCCAGGAACCTACAGAGGTCCTTCCCAACTCTGCACCCTTTTCTGCGTAAACTAAGCGACGACTTCGAAGCGCTATGAACAAGGGCGATACGAACCTGGCAGGAAAAAACCGCCATAGTGCCTAATCTTCTTCCAAGGTAAGGTGTCGCACCACGAACGAGGCACCATTCCTTGCGCCTTCGCAGCTTCTTCGATCATATCTGTTACACAAAATGATAACAAGACTAAACATCAGCTAGACCCTTCGTATCCGAATCACACTGTTCAAATTCAAAGAACACACGAAGACCAAGTACATACTACCCTTACCGATTAGTTTTTGATTTCGCATGTTTCTCGCTATATCGAGTGGGGTTTCCTGTTGCTTGTTTCGCAATGAGACATCGGCATATCCTAAGAGCAACTCACTGAAAACGGTATGGTTTCAAAAGCAACTGTGAGCAAAAAGCGATCCACACCAATAAATGAACAAGTCTATGAGATTTTACCGAACGGAACAATAATTTCGTTCCTGAGTGGCAATATGAAGAGCCGTATTGCCAGACAAGTGTTCATGCGCATTCAAATCCGCTCCACTTCGCACAATTAAACGTATCGGGAACATTCCAAATGTACGATACGCAGCCCACATAGCCGGCGTCATTCCTGGAACAAAACCTGCATTCAGAACGTACAACCTTTTTTGCAAACAACTGAAAATTGCAGAACAATAACCTCTCCACAGCTGCAAAAATCATTTATGTATGTTAATTAGAGTTGTATTGTAAGGAAACTTTGAGGCAGTTGCTCGAGCCTTTTCTCTCTTTCTCTTCCATCACAGCAACGCCTCCCATTCCCACTGAGCAGTGTTCCTCACAACTTTCATGACCTAGTAGATGACTTAGCACGGCGAGCGACCCATCGTTTTTGAGCCCACGACCAAACTCTTACATTTAGGAGTGCTACACGGTGTCCCACAAATATTACACTGATTTTGCAACTTTTCTCAAAAAGCCTATCGTAAAGTAATTAAACATATTCTTTAAAAAAAATTCGTGTAATGCAACCAATAATATGTATTCGACATCTCGCCCTCTCGCTGATAACATGGTCCTAGTTGGTTCGAAGAAGATTCCAGAGTACGCATTAAAGTTTGCAGAGACAAGGCATCAGCTCCTTCATAACTATGCATTACCTAGTGCAGACTCTCCTCCCCTGAGACGACCTAAACACATAAAGTTGAACAGCCGTTGAGGTCGTGGGATAGACAAGCTATTCTTTCGAAAATGTGAAATCGGGAAGAGTGGCACCAGCCCCGTACAAGTTTAATCCTCTGTGAAAAGCTCCGTCCTGTTAAAAATGTCATTGGTACTCAAAGTGGCTAGTGGTCTTAGTGACAGATGTTGTTTCGGGACATTCGTGAACTAGGTTTCTGTATCGAGTTCTGTTCATCATCAGAAGACATCCGTGGTGAGCGATAGGTAGTGGAGGCCCTCTCCCCAGACAAGTAGGGGTCATGCTGTTTGCGGAGAACAATCCATAAAATTTCACTGCCCTCTTCAGGTCCTTCAAGCTTGCACGGGTACTGTAGTGGGCATGCTCTTCGTTTTGCTAGAACTTAAAAGGGCAGAACCTCCGGAACGGCCGCGAAGAAGACCACTCTTACTACAACACGGTGGGCACGGTGGCGGAAGGCGGAGTTTACTATAAGAAGGCAGTCCATTAAAAAAGAAGTAGAGGTGGTCAGTGGTGCAGGATGAAGAAAAAACCATGAGAAACGGCCAGAACCCGAGAAATGGACCCCTTCTTGCCCGTTGATTTCCGCATTGATGCGACTCTCATCGGTGCTGCCCTCTTCAACGCTAACGCTCTCTCTGCTAACGGCTAGAGTCAGACGGCGAGAGGGTGGGTGCGCCGCGGCGCCAACGGTGTAAGTATGACCTTCTTAGGCCCTTGTTAGACGTACGCCACGCGCATCGTGTCGCTTCCTTAGGGGATGGCCTGTCTCTCGACTAGGTGCATTTCCCTAGATTCAACCTCCGACCTAAATCGTGGCATCCTCCTTTAAGATTCGCAGGATAACTGATTTTCACTGCTGGTTGTCCGACCTAGCCGTATGAGAGAATAGGCCTTCTACTGAAGATAAGGCCCACCACGAGATGGGAACTAAACAGTAGGTCGAAAACTGCAAAATTGATTCAAACGAAATTCTGGAAAGTAATGGTATGCCCGCTTTGGAGAAAGAACCAACTCACATAATCGAAGCTCTGGTGCAAGCCTTATGGATCGCCCTGTTCACGTTAAAGATATGCCACTGAATGCCTCCAAACCTTTGCAGAATGGAAGGGTCTATGCTGCAATGTTCATGCCCCAAATAAACACTGGGAGAATGTTTCTTCATTCACACCAACTCATTAGCAGCCCTCCGCTCAAAAACCGTATACTCGATATCGGTGAGTTGGGGTGGGCGTGTCACCGGAAGTGACGTGCACTTGATAGAAACTATGTGGATAAGCTGCTTCCAACATACATCGCTGGATATCAGCAAAGCATGCTGGCGCTTATCCCTTACTTCTATTATCAGTTGTTCAATTTCATCTGATGATATTCGAAAGCCGTTGAACTCTTAACAGGGCCAAAATATGGGATCAGCGAGGAGTCCCCTGCCCACTGGGCCAACTTTCTCCATTTTTCTTCAAATTTAACGAGTTTCTTCTTTACATTCCTAGCTCTTTTTTCTGCATGAGATTTTCTCACCCTTCCCCCAGTGTTTCCATGACGCTCTCGACACTAGGTTGCCCCTCCATTAGAAACAAGCCATGCTGTCGAAAGCACTTTTGCAAGTTGAGGTGCGATGCTTTGAACTGTTTTATTGCTAGAAGACAAAGTCGGCTCGATGCAGATGCCATACGAGTGGATACATGACACATAGAACCTATGTATCAGTCCGCCCTTACCGCTTTTCAGATGCTGTGAACTTGTCCGACTGCGAAGTGGTAGGGAGTGTAATGGGTCTGCGCACACATAAAACGGAGTCCAGTGTCATCTGAAGAGCAACAAAAGTAAAGTTAGAATCGTCTGGTAGCGACAGAACCACGCATGTAGGAAAACTTTTCGGCATCAGCAGCCATCTATAGACAAGGGGACGTGTCCCATCCATCCCTAAAGGGTACGCGTCCCCCGCCGCTGATTCTATCCCATGTTTGGGGGACCCAGGAATGCATAAAAGGATACGCCATTGACGCGTGATGTTGCACCTACCCTCCTCTGCTGACGAACTCTTTAGTTCCACGACCACCCCCTCCCCATCGCCTTAAAGGACAATTGTACTGAAGCATATTTACCACCAATCTAACCCAGTGCATAACCCAGTGCATATTGAATATCTTGCCCCGCTCCCACTCATTGCAAGCCTATCTTGAACCGGAAAGAAAACATTATGCGAACTTGCTCTTCGAGATGTCGAACTCGAGGCCTCAAAAGGTGGTGACGAAATTCTTTGGAAAAGATGAGCAAATGGAACGAGAAAAAAGCTCTTCAAGATGGTATATAGGAATGCGGCAGATTGCATGGTATGTAAACAAAATTAAGCATTCGAAAGAGAAGTGTCAAAAAACGGCAGAACTATTTGAAGGTGATCACCACTACGCAACTTTTAGTAACAAAGAGAACTGGATTACCCTTTCAAATCGGTGAAATTATCATAGAACTCGAAACCTTGACTCAATGTTGGAAACTGTTCACGACATGCTATGGAAAGCATCTACAGTAGCGCTCATCTTCGTCCAAATGCTTTTCGGCCTTAACTTTTTCTGCTATATCAAGTTGTTCAAATTTCATCTGATGATATTCGAAAGCCGTTGAACTCTTAACAGGGCCAAAATATGGGATCAGCGAGGAGTCCCCTGCCCACTGGGCCAACTTTCTCCATTTTTCTTCAAATTTAACGAGTTTCTTCTTTACATTCCTAGCTCTTTTTTCTGCATGAGATTTTCTCACCCTTCCCCCAGTGTTTCCATGACGCTCTCGACACTAGGTTGCCCCTCCATTAGAAACAAGCCATGCTGTCGAAAGCACTTTTGCAAGTTGAGGTGCGATGCTTTGGAACTGTTTTATTGCTAGAAGACAAAGTCGGCTCGATGCAGATGCCATACGAGTGGATACATGACACATAGAACCTATGTATCAGTCCGCCCTTACCGCTTTTCAGATGCTGTGAACTTGTCCGACTGCGAAGTGGTAGGGAGTGTAATGGGTCTGCGCACACATAAAACGGAGTCCAGTGTCATCTGAAGAGCAACAAAAGTAAAGTTAGAATCGTCTGGTAGCGACAGAACCACGCATGTAGGAAAACTTTTCGGCATCAGCAGCCATCTATAGACAAGGGGACGTGTCCCATCCATCCCTAAAGGGTACGCGTCCCCCGCCGCTGATTCTATCCCATGTTTGGGGGACCCAGGAATGCATAAAAGGATACGCCATTGACGCGTGATGTTGTAGCTACCCTCCTCTGTTGAGGCACTCTTTTCTCTGAGAGGTCGCGCTGTCTGGAGTCTAGAAACGCAGAGTATGGCTGGTCCTATGACGCAACCCTGTCTCCCCAACCATAGGATAGGATCAGCGGCGGGGACGCGTTCTCCTGAAGGGAAGGATAGGATACGGCCCCGGCGGCTGGGTAAGGTAGTCCGTAAAAGAGTGGAGCTACAGCAAATGATTCGAAAATAGTAAACAAGGACGTATATGGTTACATCTAGAAGGTGCTGTGTATCCACAGGAATGGAACCTGTACGACGGCAATGACTTCCACTCCTAGCAATAGAGCTACAAAAGCATTGAACCTCACCTGTGCAAGAGCGTTGCTTTCTGTGTTGCTTGTGTTGCTTTCTCTTTAGTACCTCATTCCTAAGTTTACTTTTATATTTTGATTTATGTTTTTACCGTATCCGTACTGTTTTATCCGTTTCTTTAGTAACGAATTCTGTTCTTGAGGGCTTTGCTGTTATTTGTACCGTGGTTTTCCACATGAGTTAAACGCTCATGTAATAAAATCAAATCAAATCAAATCAAGAGTGGTTTCGAAAATGGCATGCCTTTAACGGACAGATTAATCAGGTGTATGTCTTGAGCTTCATCTACGTATTATGGGAAAGAATGGCGGAACTTTTGGCTGAAAAAGAGCTAGGAGTATTGGGGAGAAGCGCGTCAAATTTCAGGAAAAATGGAAGAAGTTGTCCAAATAGGCATTGAACTTATCAACTGATTCCATACTTAGGCACTGTTAACATTTCTGACTTTGAAGTTTGTCAACAAAGGATCGATTCGGCTGAATGTGATTTGTCATGCAGCCGATTGTCCCGTTGGATTGTAACTTTCATAATTGAAATTTACCTGGGATTCGGTCATGCTCTGGAATTTCAGCAGAATTAATTTTTCATCTTGTCTTCAATACGATCGAAATTTGAATGATTTTGATACGCAGAAAGAAGTTATGCCCGAAAAAGTACTTGGCTGAAGACTTTTGAGCGCTATTGCACATTAACTAACCTTGATGAGCAATGCTGAGCTCGATACATGCCCGACACGAGCGGCCCAGTGCAGCGGTGAAGAAACAAGCAATCCTCCAACAACATTTGGATTTGCTCCTAGTTCCAGAAGCCTACAACCTTCTGATTAAATAAATTCGATTACACAAAGGCAACCAACTTTTTATTCTCGAAAACATTTGCTAACGAACTTATACATACTTGAACCACCGATGCATGGCATTTGCTCCGTGCTAACGAGGAATGCTCAATTGGTCAGTACCGGCCATTTGTATGAGGTGTAGTCCGCTGCACTCGTCTTGCGACGCTGAGCTCAAATCTCGGTATCTGCGGAACAATTTCCTTAAAGGAGTTATGAGGGATTCTTGACCAAATTCCTAACCGGCTCAACTTGAGCGAAGCGAGCGGGATGGGAGGATGTAGAGAGCACCACAGTGAGAGAATCCCTCGTAACTTCTTTCAGAGAATCGTTCCGCAGATACCGAGAACGGATTTGAGCTCAGCGTCGCAAGACGAGTACAGCGGACTACACCTCATTACAAATGGCCGGACTGACCAATTGAGCATTCCTCATACGACTGCAAAAAGTTGGACGTGGATTATTCAAGAAGCAATTGGCGTGATTAGGCGTGATTTCTACGCTTCTAATATTTTTTCCAATTTTTTCGTTCCATAGATCTGAATCTCGTCTTTCATTCGGTCAGCAGCCCAAGCAACTATTTCACCATGCTCCAACAAACCCGCTTGAATTATTGCTTTATTAGCTGCCCGAAAAATTAGGCATAGGAAAGTTTTCCTTTGATAACAGCATCACAAGCAATTGCAGCAGCATGTCCTCCAGGCAAAGACACGGCAACGTTGTCAAATGCATGGTCCCTAGATCAAATGCCTTTTTGCAACTAGGCTTTTCATCACTTTGGCATCGATAATCAATATCATATCGCCTGGTAGGACAACATCTTCGTGTACAAAAGCCTGCTCACTTAACACATTGACGACAACGCGGGGGATATATATCCCGCGCATTGCAGGCCATGTCGGACCGTGCGGGATATATATCCCCCGCACCCATTACACTCATTTTTTTCGCGCACGCCTGATTCTTTTAGAAGTTTCTTGTATTTATTCCATGGAAGAGACCTTGACGTAGCTACAAACATAGTGGCCCATAGAATGGTCACGTATGCTTTAATTTAGAGGAGGATTTCTGAACCATACGAAATCTTCAGTTTAATAAATTTTTCGTTTACTTTTTCTTTTTATTGAATGTGAAGATTTAAATAGTAGTAGAAGTAGATACGGAACCTTAGGGATGACAATATGTGTGTTTTGATTGAAATAATCAACGTAAAATTGCTTTTGAGGTCCATTGCAGCTAGTTCTGAAAATTTTTGTTATTCCATGTCTTTCGATCGAAATTCCACTACTGTACCCCTGGGTAGGTTGTGCTCATTACAATTTACTGATCTGGTTTTGTATTGATCATTATTTATGTATTTATCACTCAAAATCTGCTTGAACGACCTGAGGCGGCCGCGCCCGCAAAATCGCCGCGGTCCCACGTGGCCAAAAAAGCCAAAACTCGCATTGTCGTCAATGTGTTAATTGTAAATGTAGTAATTGTATTGAATAATGCCTTCATCTCCCGCTGCGATACTGCAGAGAGCTGGATGCGCTTCGCGGAATAATAAACTGCACGAAAGAGCATTAGTGTTAACACACGGCCGCAAAGCCACCCATGACAAAAAGTATTTCATGGTGAGCAAGGAGACAAATTGCAAATCTCGGGGGTTTTTTATGAAATTATGGACTCTGAGTTGATAGAGGCCAAATGTAACTCATAAGCACCTTTTTACAGATTGCAAACATCGAGCGAATGCAGGACATCTCATAGCGGCGCTAAATGCCTTGAGGGAAAGCTTTATGGGTGGCTTGAACTTTCTTCTACGGTACTGTCGCAAATAACTAGAGCCTAGGCGATAGAAAACGGCGCCTGACTCGGCTCTAATAAATCCAAAGGAGAGAGGCGGGAACCCTAAGACTGAGCCATGGAGAGAGGAGGGACTCCTGAGCAGGGTCAACCCTATCGTTGTTACTCTTTGGAAATTTTTTACGACCCCCCCCCCTTCATGGGTGATTTGATACGACCCCCCTTGTATGTAACACTTGTGTAGAGACAGTGTTTACCATCAATATTTATTGCTACGTAAGTCCCTTTGGCCTCCTGACGGTGGAGCGCATTTGCTCACGGTGAAGAGGCGTCGAACGGGGAGTGTGAAAATTCGAGTTTTTCTTTTTACATTTCAGGTAGTTCGGAAGATTCAGGTGGATTTTGGATCGACGTGGCTCCTTCCTTCCTAACGAGTGCTCATTTGTTCTCAAACACTTCGGAATGAATAAGTTATTAGGCAAAAAATAAAATTGAAACACAATTTTTACACTCCTCTTTCTAGGGCTATAACTTCCTTCATATTCGAGCTTCTGCGCCGAAGTGATTTGATTTGGAAAATTCAAATTATTCTCTCTCCAACCATGGGTAAAAATTCTTCGAAAGTTAATTTAATAAAAATTTAGTACGTTGTTACTTTTTTCTGTGCAAATGCGACTTTTTAACCTTTAAACGATCATAACTTCCTTCAAAGTCATTCATTTGGGAAGCTGAACACGGTATAATAAACTACAGGATTCAAGCTTTCTAAGAGCACCCAAGCGTTCCTGAAAGATCAGCAGTTCAAAAATTAGTCCCGTTGTTACTTTTTTGGGGGTTTGCGTTACTATTTTTTGGAACCGCGACTTTTTTACCTTCAAACGATCATAACTTCCTTCAAAGTCATTCATTTGGGAAGCTGAACACGGTATAATAAACTACAGGATTCAAGCTTTCTAACGAGCACCCAAGCGTTCCTGAAAGATCAGCAGTTCAAAAATTAGTCCCGTTGTTACTTTTTTAGGGGGTTTGCGTTACTATTTTTCTGGAACCGCGACGTGGCACGAACTTTTGGGACACTTGAATACTATGGATGAAACTTGCTCTTGGAAAAGGTCAACATGGTTTCGATGTCCATAGGGAACAAATCTAATGGGACCCCATGAAGTACTACCCACATTCCCCATGTTCGAGTGATGCAAGCGTACTGATAAAATGATTAGGTTGCACCAGCCTTCGCCAAAACTTTTAGTAAAGTCGACAAGAATGTGCTACATCAAACCGATGTAGCTCTTAAAACGAAGTTTAAGAACGGATTTCATGCGTGAATAAAAAAAAAAGATCTACGCCAAAAACGTCACAAGGACAAAAAGAGAAAAGAAATATGTGGTAGAATATACACCTTTGTACTACCGGAATGCGATTGTTTATGGCAGCCCAGTGCAGTAGGGAGCAGCCATCGACGTCACATGCATCTGGAATGACGCCTTCCTGTAGTGAAGCTTCCAGTGCTTCCAAGCTCCCTCTTTGGCAAGCCTCCACTGCCCTCGCAATGGCTTCCTCCATATCCCTGTGCGATGTAAAACCAGTACCTTTTCAAGCACACGCAGTTTTTCTCATCGCTGACTCGAAATGAGACGATGGAACTGTGCAGATGTTTACCGTCAACTTCAAAGTACTACTTGGTCAGAACACCACTACAAGTTCTCCTGCATTTCTTGACAAACACAAAATTCATTGAACCGGACTTTAAATTACTCGCATCGGCACAGACTACATAAATATTTTAACAAAAACTATAAACAACCTAATTAACTAGTTTTACAATGTACAACTGCAGGCTAACTAGCACGAGAACCACTTTAGTAACAAAACCACAGCATAAACGCTTTGTAAACAGGAAAATTCAATTCTACACAGAAAATGGAATCATGTATCTAAGAACCACGCTAAAGCGATAGCGAACTGGTTCCGCTCAGTAGGAACGGATCTTTGGCGGAATCCAGTCAGTTTCGCTCTTATCCAAAGTAGTGTCGATGACCGGGCGGTAATTGAGCGTCACCTTGCCAGTTTGGATGTTTGAGGTGATCATCGTGTGTTTACGCCAGTGCTCCTGAATAAGAACGATGTAATTCATTCCAATAGAGAATCCAATAAAGAGCAGCAGTGCTTACTCCACATATCCCTATAACTTACTTCTATCGGCTTCTTCTTCTGCCCCTCAACCGGTTTGCTGTAATCGTACTCGTCGATACGTTGAGGGAAGTCGTCACGAGCATGTGCACCACGAGATTCCTGTTGTTTAAATATAATATTTTTATTTTTAAATCATGCACTTCGTCTCTTACAACCACTAGAATAAAATGAATGTGCAACAATCGATATTACATCGATTGTTGAACATTTATTTTACTCCACTGTTGACCGTTAACCTATGTTAAATACAATTGCACTTACTTTTCGAGCTTCAGCAGCAACGACAGTTTGCATAGCATTGATGAGAAGGTTCTGGAGCTCTAGTGTTTCGATGAGGTCACTATTCCATATGAGACTGGTATCGGTGACGTGAAGATTGTGGTAGTTCTTATAGATCTCTTCTACTTTCTTTACACCCTCCTGCAAAAACCTGATTCTAGCTATAGCTCAGGTTACTAGATTGGTGCTAAATACTAACAAGATGTAAAACGAAAATGGGAACTAGCCTGAAGAATGTCACCTCTCCTGAACACAGCAGCGTGCTTCTGCATTGTTTTTTGCATATTCAAGCGAACTTTTGCGGTAGGTGGTCCATCCTACAGGTAAAATCATCTGATAGATCCACTACAATGACCAAATAATATCGCACCTTTCTATGCATAAGGGTATCAATGTTGTCGACAGATGCCTCTCCGGCATCCTTCGGTAGATCGGGCACTCCGACACCTGGCTTTGTGTTACCCAAGATCCTGAACGATTGAAAACATTACGACATCAAAAACAGTAAAGAAACATCGAAGAGACATACGTGAGAGCACAAGCTCTTCCAAAGATCACAAGGTCCAGCAGAGAGTTTGCACCCAAACGGTTTGCACCATGCACGGACTGAGCCGAACACTCTCCAGCAGCATACAGTCCTGGCACAACTTGATCTCCCTTATCTTTAGAGTAAGAGATTACCTGAATTGTTGCCACATCAACAAGTTTCCAGACAAAAAGGATAATCTGATCCACTAGTGGAAACAAAGCCAACAACAAGAAGAATTTCACAGTAGTCAAAGATGATCGTACTTCGCCCTTGTAGTTGGTAGGGACTCCACCCATGCAGTAGTGAACGGTTGGAATGACGGGAATGGGTTCCTTAGTAACATCCACATTAGCAAAAATCATGGCAGTTTCCGAGATACCTAAAGAAGCAAATTATTACAATGCACACCTCCCAATGAGAACGGCGATTAACACACCAAGCAGGATGCTCAGAGCCTCTAACAACTCGGCCTTGTGAAAAAAAATTGATGACTTGTAGAAGATGACAGAAATGCTTCAACTTAATTCTTGCCAAAACGATGAAATCTCGTTCATACCGAAAGCTTTTTCATGATCACCAAAAGACTTCGGGCTGCAACTACAGCAGCACAAACTTACGATTTACCCTACAAGAAACAAGTCTTGCTTGCTAGTAACAGCTAAAATGGATGTCCAATATAAACCAAAGAGTGAACTGGAGTGCGGGGCGGAGGGGGGGGGGGCACTCCATTGTGCTCTCCCATACCAGCAAGAAGGATATGAGCGCTCATGAAACGCAATCGATTCATTGAGAAATACTCTGCCAGGTATTGATGTACCGTTGAAATACTCCTGGGATGCTTTCACATTTTTGAAACTAAGAAATGTGGGACATCGCCCAGTTTAAAGGTGCACGAACCCCAGAACGGCCCTTTTATGTGTACACTTGAAACAAGTCGTTCACCTATTATCTTATCCACATGATCCAATCTTAGGACTGCTTTCTAAAATACGGATAAGATAACAGGGGGTGGATTCACCAAAAAGTCCATTTTTACCCCAAATAAATATCGAGAAAAAGTCGTAACTTTTACCTTTCAAACAACCGCTTGATAGGAAAACGGTAAACCAGCCTGTCATAGTAGACATGGTACTTCAATAAGCTAGACTGTCATAATTAGTTAGGCAGAAAGCGAAGATGATTGCAGAAAAAAATACGAGACAAGCGCACGAAATTTTAATCCTACATAGATTCACGCATTGTCGGCGAAATCTGCGGCACTATCAGAACGCACTATGTAAAGAGAAACACTGACAAATTAAAAATAGTGAAGCTACAAAATCTAGAAACCTGGCAGCCTTTCGTGAAGTTGTTGAGCAGGCAAGTGATGCAGCTGGAGGAAGATGTGATCTTTTTCTGGTCCAACACCACGACCTTCCATCACTTCAACAGTCATCGCTCGAGATACAACATCGCGAGAAGCGAGGTCTTTAGCCGTTGGTGCATAGCGTTCCATAAATCTTTCTCCTTTGGAGTTCACGAGGTATCCCCCTTCGCCTTAAATGTCAACTGTAGAATAATTTAAATGCTTTCCAATACACAAAACTACGTACCGCGAGATCCTTCTGTAATAAGGCATCCTGCTCCATAAATACCAGTGGGATGGAACTGAACAAACTCCATATCGGTGTTATTGATACCAGCACGAGCAGCCATAGCCGTACCTAGAATGAGCGAATTTCTCTAACACAGTTAAAACAACTGAACTTATTACCGAAATCACACAATCAATACGCAACTCTTTTTGATATAGGGTATACCATGCGTGCAATATCGGTCATAAAAACATTTGTATTAAGTCAGACATTGCTAAGTTCGAACCGCACGTTCCTAAGTTAGAACAGAAGACCACAATCCCTTTTATAAAAAAAAAACTTCATAGTGGCATAGTGGCCTCCACGCTGACAGCATCAGCAAAATCCGCTCCGGAAACAGCGCATTGGTCGAGCTCGACGGTTCCTCGACGTATCTTTTACGTAACATACGACATGCGCTACATGATGGCGCACGGTTATTTCTCTTTGTTTTTGTAATATTTCTAATAATCTTAATATACCCATATACTCTCAGCAATGTGGAATAACATATATATTCCCAGGACCTGGACGGCTGGATTTTTGACAAACTCCAAAAATTTTCACACACCTTTGTTTTCATTTTCTAACTTTTCCTATTTGATGAAAGGCGCACCATGGTCCACACTTCCCGGGCCCCTTCCCCTAAATATAGCCACTTCCTTGCTCAGGGGTTGTTGTTTCGCATTTTCGAAGAATGTCACCTACAGCTTCCATTCATCCTTTGCACCCTAGTTTTAGAGCGGAAAGGCGAGTTACGAAGTTGTCGAGAACGGATACCTCTTCATTTGAAAGATCAGACATGGAAACACCTCATGGTGGCGCACGCGCAAAAACACTGTCGTGTGTTACGTGTAGAGACGTTTTTTGGAGTTTCAAGGGGATTTGCATAGTTAAGGCTATTGTCTCTTGAACTATCCAGAAGTAAATCAATTGAAGAAGTTATGCTATAGCTTAGGCAGGAGCAGTACGGTAGGTATATATTTGACCTCGACGACAATAGCTGATGACAAAGATGATGAGGGTAGTGAAGGATGGCTTGCATCTACTCATATTGAGAAATTTGAGGAACATTATGCTAAAAAAACTTCCGTCAACGGCGGCATTTTGCGACAGAAAATCGCTCAAGTGCGACTTGGGCTGAATGGTTTTTCGCCCCCCCCCCCCACCCTGTTGATGAAGCGGGGCGAAATGAGGCGGGACTAGCTTTTAATACCAGATGAATATTATTCGTAGAAAAGATGACAAGACTTGCCAATTGTTTTCAAAATGATCGCCTCTAACCTTCACACAGTTCTTCGATCTCTTACGGCCCCTAGCCCTTATGGGGGAGGGGTTTTAATGGTATGTGATAGAACAGAATTTCCTTTCCGAGGCAGCGTATACTTGGGATTATAGCGACTTGATCCGGAAAACTGCTAAGCCATCGTTGAAAGTGATGAAGTCGGGGATCTGCTCGGTGCCCTGTCCCTGAACCACTCTTGGTCGGTTTCCTGAAGCAAAGCCTTCGCTGAATACACCAATGGCCCTTCCCAAAGGGAGGACTAGCTTTGAGCGAATATTGAGCGAACGCTGCTTGAGTAATGTTTGAAAATTTGAGAAATCGCGGAAAATGCGCTTCCATAGCGTTTTGTTGAAGCTCGATGATTGCAATTGCAAAGCGAAAGCCGAACTACCAAGTAGTCAGCGGGCACTAATAGCAGCATGTTCAAACAACATATCATGAGAGAATGGAACAGGGAATATCTACAGAAAGAATATCAGAAAGGCAAAAGCATATTAGGTGCAACAGTAATTTTGCCCCAACCTGTACTGTTCTAAGCCGCTAGCGTCAAACGTCAACAACAGATTAGAGAGACGAATTTAGGGGGCAATCAAGGTTTTGATGCAGGAAATCCAAACAGCACAAGTCCCAGAAGCTTTTGGACTCGACTCAAAAACACAAAAGTGGAAATTGGAAATCGTAGAGGGAAATTCATGTCAATTACTCGCGAACTAAGGCTAGCTGTTTTATCAAAGTTCGGAATCCGTGATTTCGTCGTTCCGATGGGCTAGACCGCGGATATAAGGAGACGGTGCTCTTCCCGTCTATAAATTATGCGATGGATACGGTGTTCTCAGCCCTCGCAGAAGTACGTTATCCGTCCATTCCTTTGAAATCAAAACAATGAATCTGCGAGAACGTTGGCCGAGCAATTTGACTATCACCCTCCTACCTCGCCGCGAACAAAGCTGAACGATACACACGAGTAAGATTGCGATCACAGTTTCGAGCTACACATGTGAGCGCCCTCTGGACTCCATGAAAAAACATTGATATGCTGTATTATCGCACATGTTCTGCAGGACACAAGCGATATAAGCCGTGCGACGGTGCAATCATATCAGATCGTCCGATGTTCGAGATGAGCACACTTTTTAAACTACATTTTGAAGCGTGCACAACGAAAGCTTGAAAAACGTTGACGTCACTGCTGATAGATTAGAAATCAGCGAGCACATTTTTGCATCCACCCACTTGACACAAGCACACACATCACGTGGAGCGTTCACCGTATCATTTGAAAGTTCTCATCACTACGCAACCAGAGAACAACGAAGAGCGCCTTCACCTACTCGAGAAACCGAAAGATAATTCCTATCATATATGGCCTTCGCAAGTGAGGCCAAAAGTAATGGCCAGACATTTTGACATAATAAGTTGCTCAACACGAAATGTCTATACTAAATTGGGTCGAGGTTGATAGGGTCGGCTAGATGAGCACATTACACCTCTATCCCAATAATGAATAATTGAGCTTCCTTGTGTGTCACATTTTGAATACTAAATGCATTCCCGAGAAAGATCTGGCAAGATAGATCGCTCCGCAGTGTCAATCTATCACTTTTTCATTTCTTCAAAACTGTATGTTTTCTGTCGGCGTGATACGTGACTTTACAAGAGTGCATACGAATCGATAGCTTATTGGGGTGCACATATATTTCGCCCGTAGCTCTCTCTCTCATCTCATTCCAACATGTCAGCCCACACTTGAGTTCATCAGCAACATACTGCTGAGAAGTCGAATTTTGCCAACACTAGTAATAAGGCTATTCTTACCGTCACCAGTGCAGGTATGAGCAGACGTGCATGAAAAGTAAGTACGACCAAATCCTCCAGTAGCCAACACCGTGTTCTTGGACCGGAAGCGATGGATTGTTCCATCTTCCAAGCACATGGCCACGACTCCAACGCAGGCTCCCTACAAATCAATGTGATCATGCGACGGCAATTTCCACGCATAACTATCCACTTGACAACAGCCCGTCGTGTACACTAACATCTTATGTTTTTTAAAGCAGCAATTAACTTTTCAACAATTTATTAATAGCAACGGGTTCATTGCTTCCGGTTTCGATAATCCACCAAATATATCGAGCATGACGAGGCTCATCTGCGTGAAGAGGTGAAGCAATGCGCGTCACGCTGCAGTCAATGTGCCAAGTACAGAGCAGGAGTTCACTTTGATGTCGAAAAAATTCGATATTGTTTTTCTCCCTTGCACTGAGGTGAGCGTTCTATGATGACTATTTCAACACATGGACTCGTACGAGTGCGTTCTCTGGTTCGGTTTTATTGCCAGTAAATCTGGGATGTTTCGAAGCTAAAGAAATAGTCAAAACTATGAAAACCGCGGTGACTGACTAGAGGATACCCTAAACCACGTTGCTGCATAGTGAATAAAACTCACACAAGCTGCCACATCCCAGGCGATTTTCCCACTAACTTTTAATAAATTTGCTAGAAGACTTCAAGCAAAAATACTACGAAGAAAACTGACTAGCATTATATCATTTATGTAATTTGCACTCAACAAAATCCTCACCTTATCCATGATTAAATCCAGGGCGAAATATTCGACAAAATAGTTGCAGTTATACTGCAAGGAAGCCCCATAAAGGGTGTGAAGAAGAGAGTGCCCAGTACGATCGGCGACGGCGGCTGTCCTATAAGAATGAGGTCTATGTAAGGATAAGGCGCGCTTGCTTACACGGACAACGGAACACCCCGCAACTTTGTCTTTCTTCAAACCAAATTTCGAGAAAACTTGCGAAAATTTACAATGGACCTCAATTCGGACACGAAGACGAGTCATCCTAAGGCTATGAAACACAGCCAGAACGCAATAGATTTGGCCAGAAAAGCTCAATGTGATTGAATAGCGTATGGCGTATGGCATCATGTATGGCGACAGAAGCATGATTGCGGCACCATTCGGTGAAAACATACCTATGAGCTTGTCCACCACGACCGAAATCGTTCGATTGACCTCCGAAAGCACGCTGATAAATCTTTCCTTCGGGAGTTCGAGAGAATGGCATTCCTTAACAACATTCAGAGTGACAGCAAAAGGATTTTGAAGATCAACATGGAAGTACCATAATTTTCTAGTTCAATTACTGCACGAACTGCTTCCCTGGTCATATAGTGAATGGCATCCTGATCACCCAACCAGTCAGATCCCTGAAATGGATGTGAAGTTGACATCAATCACAGAAAACATTTTAGTTCCCACTCCTCTTTCTTCAATTTTTTCACGTAGTCCGTTTTACCAAAGAATAATATAAATCAACGAAATAACGTGAAGCTGTAGCTAATTTGTATAGAGTTTGGTATTCTATTCTAGCTCGCCGAACTGGGCGTCATGATCCCATCATCGAGAAAAGCTAAACCCACATAAAGCATTAGTGGCTTCTATCATAATTTAGCTACAGAACACGGTATCGGTATGATGTATTGGCAAATAAACACTGACAGTTGTTTCTGTGTCGACATATGAATCGATTTTTGTTGCAAAAATAAGAACACGGCCGCAGCACTAGTGGATTCCACCAATACCACTGCGGAAAGAAAGCGAAGACAAGGTGTTTATCTGCTCAAAGCAATGTGTTTCGAAGAAATGCGTGCATAATTTAAAAATTGGAATAATTAGAAGGAGCGAATTTCTAGAAATGTGGCATTAGTTTACGCTTTTTTTGAAATGAGTGTCCCGAGTCTTAATAAAATTTTACACTAGAACCCCTGGGACCGTATGCTATGCTTCCCCGAAGCTAGGTGGCGCAAAGTTTCCTTTAAATTTATTTGTTTGAACGATGTAGTTTCTTCATTTTCAATGCATGTTACTTTAACCTACATACATACATTAATGTAGGCCCTTTATCAGGGTAATCCCAGTTGGGAAGACAGAGAAAATTTAAAGGAATTTCGTCCCCTAACCCCTTCGGGAAGCATAGCATACGGCCCCTGATGACCAGTAGCAGTGATCGGTAGCCTATTTTCCCACATTTCAGTAACACTGCTGGTGCTGAAAGAAGCTCAAAGATATGATTCTAGAACGACTATTCTCAACCTTTCCTTTCACGCGATCCACAAAATGAAAGAAATAACCTTGACAGTATCGTAGAAATGCCAGCGCCAGTCATCCTTGTTCATACTTCCTAAGGCTGCGTTGATTCCTCCTTGAGCAGCGACGGTATGCGATCGAGTGGGGAAGATCTTAGTGATGACGGCAGTTTTCAGACCTCCTTCCGATAGACCCATCGCGGCACGAAGACCCGCACCCCCTAAAATAAATCAAATTTTGTGAATGTATCATTATTACGGCTTCACACGTCTTGAAACAACGAATGTACCTGCGCCAACAACTACGGCATCGAAGGCATGATCGACGACCTTGTAGTTGGCAATATTCCCACGTTTGGCATCACAGACAGGCGCTGAGAGAGTGAAAGCACGCTGTGCTATCAAATTCCTGACTCCTCGCTGTGCCACCGATAACATTCTACCTAAGTTGAAACGGCAACGTAAACAACAGACGCTTTTTAGCGATAACAGTGGAAGGAACTATCGCAGACATCATAATGCCCGCCTAGAATGATAAGCGTTCACTAGCACTGAGCCACCCAGCAACGAACAATCCGAAAACACCGAAGGAAGAAACAAGATTGATCCCCTAATAGTTGCGGAATGTCTTGTACACAGTTGTTTCGCCAGCACAAGCGGAACAATGAAGAGACACACCTCACGGAACAACGAATTTGCAAGAAAATAAAAAAACTAGACCGGAGATAACATAAATATCATAGAAATAATTGAAAATTTCATCAGAGAGCTGGAGACGACCGCGCAGCAAAGTGCATTGAATCAGATTGCGCGCAAAATACACCCTGGCTGCGTCATTCCAGCTCGGCGCAAACTCAGTGCCTACAGTAAACCTATGTGGAAATCCGTTTGTCTAGCATAGCAGATGTGGTTTCCTCAGGATATTCTCATTCATACCAATACGCTACTTCATACTAGTCAACTTGAAAGCGAGAGAAAAGTTATAGGGGGTAGAGCGGAGAAAATGGGATTAAATACTGCATCTACAGGAACGTAACTATAAATAGGCTCCAATTTGTTCAATATTTGTTTTGAAGGTACTGCACAGATCATGTATTTGTGTGTGCTTGGTGTTCCTGTAAAAGACGAGAGAGAAAAGGACAATCGCATACTTTTCGAAGTAGTATCACTGCAAAAACTTTGCTGCGGTACTCATCTCTTTTCCTGTGATATTCCTCAGCTACATAATAACTTCAAGCGCACAAACGTACAAATCCGTGACTGTCAGAGAAATGATTGAATTCCCACGACTTCTCTAGGAAAAGGCTGCCCAGCTGAGCGAACAACAACCGTCCTGCGCCAGAGGCCTTTGAAAAATCGTTTAGACAGCTAATGATGAACTATCAGTTCTTGGGTCAGGGAGGTGAAGTTACAGGCTAGATTTCACAAGTCTCAAAATACAAGTAACACGTCACATGATCAGGACCACCAATCGAATAGCAACGATGTCTTGGTCGGCTAAAGTGCAAAGCCTCTGCGCCTCCGCACTGTCTCTCGGGCCATTGAGGCCGCCCCAAGCAATCGATTTGAGAAAAGAATGATCGATACTTCTTCGCTGGACGTGAATCGTTCTGTTGTAAATGAATATCGGGCTAAATGCAGCACTAGCTGATATGACTCATCTGAATGTTTTCTGTTTGAAATGCGATGAGCGCGTGGTTTGCCACGATAAAGCTCTGCATCGGAATTAATTTACAATTTCACCTTTACGTGATATTGAGCCAAAACAAGCCTTATTTCCAAAAGAAAAAAGACTGAGCTTTACAGAATTCTTTGAAACCGCTTACTACCGAGATTAGGTGAGCCGAGCCCATTAGTGCCGCGTTGCTTGGGAAAGGTTACCGAGTTCGCACTGGGACATGATAAGCCGTCTCGCTTCTTTAAGCCATGGGGTTGGTTACATAGGTTAAGGTAAGCTATCCTACCAAAGTAAATCAAATAGCAAGACCTAAGTTGAAACGCTAGGAAAATTTGGGTGCAATGCAAGTGGGATGAACACGCCAAATTTTTTGAATACGGTAGGCGCGAAATGTATGTAAATGGGGACTGCTGCCCGCTACTATGACGTGACGAGACACTATGAAGTAACTCACACATTCCAGCTTTTCACACATGTCAAGTGACTGCCCTCAGCTTCACCCCTAGGTGGGCGGCTCCCAGACAATACCTAACC